ATATTATACAATATCAGTTTTGGAAAATGGCAACTCTGGTAACAATTTAACCTTATGGTTGGACTGAAAGGTGTTTTCTGAGGAACTGAAGTGAGCACTGATATCTCCCGGTCATCCTCACARACACAAACGTTAAGCTAATTTATTTATTTCTAAAATGTGTTGTAAGCCAGCTAAAGAACACGGATCGTAATATACAGCTCTGGAARAAGATTGAGACCACTTTAAAATGATCAGTTTCTATGATTTTACTCTTTGTAGGTATATGTTTGAGTAAAATTATTTTGTTCTATGATCTACTGACAACATGACTCTGAAATTTCCAAGCAAAAATTTAGTATTTATTTGCAGAAAATGAGAAATGGTCGAAATGATGATGAAGATGCAGTGCTTTCAGACCTCAAATAATGCACAGAAAGCAAGTTCATATTCATTTAGAAACAACAATAATAATGTTTTAACTCAGGAAGAGTTCAGAAATCAATATTTGGTGGAATGCTTTCAGGCTAAAACTAAATAAAAACCATAATCGATTGGTTGGAAAGCACTCCAAAACGGGCTAAAAGCCAAAAAACCTTGCTTTCCACCAAATACAGGGACAAACAGGGACAAAACAACTTGAGTTGTGTTTCAGCATACCTGGGCAGGTGACAATAGTGTTTGTGTACGTCTGAGTGTTGGAATTACATCGTCTTTTAGTGATAATCTTGTTATTAGTCCACTGTAAATTCCCTTTTGTTCAGAAAGCTGTCATCTGTAAAGTGGCTCACACAAATATTTAAATAAATATTTTCTTTTTCATTGGAGGGTTATTTCCAAAAATGAAATCACACCATTTCTTAAGAACTGACATCCTTGGCGTCTGAAAATACATTTCCTCAAAGGCATTTTTTAATCCAAAAAGGACTGGACTGAGAAGTATTACGATCTCAGCAGACATGCGGTTTCACCAGTTGTTTAATAGTTGTTGTTGCTGATAGCCTGCAGGAGTCGCAGGGGAGGTGTGCTCTGAGGAAGCTGGGCTCAGAGACACAGCCCAGAGGAGGAGCAGCACCTAAAAGGTGGTTCTAGGGCCAACCAGCTGTATTAGTTCTCCTGCATAGCTTCCACAGGACATTACAGGATTTAACAAACATGCATGAATGAGTCAAAACAATACTCTGAACGTTTTTGATGAGGGGATAACATCACAATATGATATAAAGCTCAAAAACGTTGATATTACATGATATTGCCCCTTTAACATCTAGCTCTCGTTAATACATGTATAATTTTTATCTGTGAAATATCTTGTCTGAGCAGAAAGGTTTGGTTTGACACGATTGATCACTTGCATCAACTCCAAGATGCCAGTCCAGCCACTCACGTCCCTGCAAATGTTTTGTTTTTGCTTTTTAATCCCTCGCCTTCAAAATGACGTTTTACTCTTAGCTCACAGACAATCACTCTTTTGTCTGTCTTGTTTTTTTCCTTGTATTTTTTTTAAGCATATTGCTTTCGATTTGACTCCTTTTTCTAGTTGTGCGTTTCCTCGACCGGGAACAGCAAACATCTTGGGTCACGCGCAGTCTGAAGTTTTCTTGTTTTAAAGAGATTTTCATCATCTTTTCCATTGTGAGAGCTCTCTTTTTGGGACCATGCTCCCGGTCAGTCTGCCAAGTCCAACAGCCAGTTATTTTCTGCTTGTGCCCTCGTTTAAAATCAGACATATTTGCACAGTTCTTATTTCAGCGTGATTCCTTTATTTCTCTACTGGGGCTAAAAAATTATGATTAATCATATCAGTTTTATTAATGTGTATTTATTTGCTTGGGTATGTTTTACAGAGACAAAGCTTTGTCTATACACATTATGTTTTAGATTAAAACACTGAATAAACGCCAACCAAGAGAGATAACGTTTCTACCAAAGCTTTTAGCTGTGATGAAGGGTTAAGGACAAATCTGCCGGCGTGAATGTAGATGTGTGAGTTAGTTTTTTTTTCTTCTCTTTATTAAACTCTGAGAAAAGTGTACTCAGATTTCTTTTTCTGTTGTTTCCTCCCTGGTACAGGTCCAAGTTGTTCTCCTGAATGCAATGGAAGGTGCTGGGGAGAAACCGCGCAGGATTGCCAGACGTGTGAGTTTAAATCGCAGTTTGATTGAACAGTGTGATTTTTAAAAGGGAAAGCCTGGATTGCTAAACCTGCGGGCTTTTTGTGTCCTTCGTTTAAAGTAACTCGAGTTAAATGCGCGACTGGTTGCCAGCGATGTAAAGGTCCTTCTCCTAATGACTGCTGCCACAGGCAGTGTGCGGCAGGCTGCACYGGACCCAAAGACACAGACTGTCTGGTAAATAATCCCCTGAATTCATCAAGAACATATATATTTTTAAAATCCTTGCTGAGCATTTCCTCCTTCCTTTTGTCACATCAGGCGTGTCGTCACTTTAACGACGACGGCGTGTGCAAAGAAAACTGCCCTCTACCCACCACCTACGACCAACTCGCCTTCCAGAACAAACCCAACCCCAACAAAAAGTTAAACTTCGGAGCCACCTGCATCGAGAAGTGCCCCTGTAGGAACTCATTAAATGAAACACGAAACGCACCTGAAGCTGTTTAGCGTTTTTCCATTCGGCTGCCCTTTGAACGCCGTCTCTCCCTCTCTGTAGATAACTACCTGGCCATGGAAGTGGCCTGCACTTTGAATTGCCCCAAAGCCAACCAGGAAGTCATCATCATCGAGCCTGACGGCAATGAGACGCAGAAATGTGAAAAGTGTGAAGGAGATTGTTCCAAAGGTAGTGTGAGTCGCACATTTACACACTGATAACATTCATTTAATAAAAGTTTATTAAATTAAAACCAGCAGCAACTCTACCACACCGATGAGCTAACGGCTAGTCAGAGAGAGGCAATAAACAAGTAGAGTGCTGCCTAAAAAACACAAATTTCACAAGTTTTGTCTATTAGTTCACGCAGTTCATTTAATAAACTTTTACAAGTCTATCAAATCCAGTAGAAATAATCTACCATTGCTCTATGGTGCAGTATAAGTGCTATAGCTAGCTGCTGCTGCTGCTGTCAATGCTTACAAATAGCCGTAGTTGATTAAAACAATTAATTTTTTGCCTTTCACAGCGTGTTATGGTCTGGGGATGGATAACTTCGGTGTAGTGGGCAATCAAAACATCACAATGGTGACGTCGGCCAACATCGAGCAATTCATCAAGTGCTCCAAGATTTTCGGAAGTCTTGCTTTTCGTCCGCAGAGCTTTGAAAGGTAATGAAAGGCAGATCACAGTTTAGAGCTTTAGATTAAAGTAAAGATTATATCAGTGTTTTTTTTTTACAACATTCAATAAATGAAAATGACTCTTGGGGCATTTTTTTGGTTTTAATTAGAGACCCTGTGACCAACACCTCTGGCCTGACTTTGGAGCAGCTGAGTGCTTTCAAGAATCTGGAGGAAATCACAGGTATCAAACGCTTATCAAAAAATATTTCATGCAAATTGAATCTGCGTCATTTAATCCCATTTTTTTTTCTTACATAGAGCCACTCAGATGTCTAATAATTCTTGCCTGATTCTGTGTGCAGGGTATCTGTACATCGATGCGTGGCCCGAGGAGTTGACTGACCTCTCCGTGTTTGAGAATCTGAAGGTGATCAGAGGCAGGATGCTCTACATGTAAGTCCTTTCAAACCTGCTTTAATTAGACCGCAGGCCGCACTGTTCTGTGGTGTGTTTTGTTTTTATAACGTAATTTTTAGCTTTAACGTCATAAATCTTCTTTTTGATCACATTTTGCCTAAAAAGGCACAAATGAATCGAAAAGTTCTCAACTGTTGGAAGTAAACAGTTGAATTAATTCCAAATATGGGATTCTTTTCTCTGTCTCGTGCGTCACTGCATGCCACAGTGTCCATGTCCGTCTGCTCACACTGTGTCTTTGTTTGCACTTGTTTTTTTTTTTTTCCTCCAGTCTGGTCTCTTTCATGGCAATAAATGCTAATTATTAGCCAGCTTGTTTCTCTGACATGCAGCACATGTCACAGTCAGTCTCTGAGATGCACTTTAATATTTAACCTACAAAGTGTTGTTAGTGTACTTTGTTTTAAAATAAAATCTAACCTGACTTGTGCTTTTGGCAGCTTTAAGCTTTGCTTTCAAGTTTTAAAGGGGCAATATCATGTAAAATCAACTTTTTTTGAGTTTAAATCATGTTATAATGTTATACTTTCATAAAAAAACATGCCCAAAGCCTTGCTCTGACTCATTCATGCATGTTTGAGAAATCCTGCAGCGTTTTTAGGCAGCCTTGCTGAGGAGCAAAACGACAGGTGGGGACCAGAAATGCCTCCCCTGGGATGTGTCTTTAAGCCAAACTTCCTCATGGCAGAGCAACCCACCCACCTCCATTCCCCTTTCCCACACACCCCGCCCATGACTCTTGCAGGCTCTCAGGTGAAAGTGAAAGTGAAACTGTCTGCTGAGCTCCTAACAGTAGTTTTCAAGATTAAAAATAACTTTGAGGAAATGTATTTTCAGATGACACGTAAGCTGCATCATAGCAGCCCCCCCCCCACCTCATGAG